GGATGATAACAATGCCTTCTTCTGGAATTCTTTCCAAAGGACCTGACTGAGGCTGCTTTACAGTTAACTTTTTTTTTTTTTGCTTCTAAGTAGAAGGAGTACACGCTAAATGGTAAAAAGTATAGTACAGTAAATACATACACCAGTAACATAGTTCCTTATTGTTATTATCAAGTATTATATATTGTACATAATCGTATGTGCAGACTATTGTGTGACTGGCAGCACAGCAGATTTGTTTACACCAGCATCACTATAAACATGTGAGTGATCTGTTGTGCTACAACATCAGGACAGCTATGACACCATTAGGCAATAGGGATTTTTCAGCTCCATTATAATCTTATGGGACCACCCTCAAATATGCAGTCTTTCATTGACTGAAATGTCATTATGTGGCACATGACTGTATAATAAAGATTTCCATCTTCCCAAACTAATCCGTAATTCATCACAATTCTAGTCAAAATCCCAACAGGGTTTCTCATGGAAATACTGATCCCAATAACTCCACATCACCATAGAACTCCCAAGACACTTTTAAAAGAGAATAACCCAGCCCCCAGATAGCAGAGTCCTGGACCTGGTGCCACAAGCAATGGGGCAGAGCTGAGGACACCCTTGCTGGTATGGATGATGGGCACTTTTTGAAAATAGAATCATAAAGAGAAATCAATTCCTTTATCTAATTACAGAGATGAGTCAAAACCAATAAAGAATTCAAAATTATCACAGTCCAATAAAAATGAGAAGTTATATGCAGCCCAAAAGCTGTCAGATCTATTTGATGAGAGGAAACAGGAGATTCTAAGGTACAGAACAGGCTCTGTGAAGGAGAGTTATTTTTAAAAATGTTAACTTCAAGTCCGCTCACCCATTTGTTTCTTAAAATGATTTACAATTCTCAAAATCTGGTTTTGACTTGCATGACAAGCCTCTGCCCATCTCTAGGAGAAGCTGCTCTCCAAAGGAGCTGTAGGATTTAATTCCTGTCAGTATTTGTAACAAACCAGTAGACCTGCTTTTCAATTATATAATTTAAACCATAAACAAGATGCTGCAGCAACTTTTCCACAGAGCTCAATTTATATATGCCATAAACTTCCCTTAGTCCTTAACCTCTGCAAAAGTCTAAATTCTGTATCTTTTCAATATCATTTCTTTTGGAAATTTCCACTGAAAGGCCAAGGACTCCTGGCTTACTCTGGTGTGAATGTTTAACTTGGGGCATAAGATTGTTCACATGGGTTTCACGAATTACATGCCCAGCCCATACGGAGGTTCTTTCTTCTATTTTTCAAATGTACACAGATGCCATTGTGATGATTAAAATATACACTCAGGGATGGTTCAACATAAGACCAATCAATGTAAGATATCACTTTAACAGGCTGAAGGGGAAAAAAAACCCACATGCTCATCTCAATTGATACAAAAAAGGCATAACAAAATCTAACAACCCTTTATAATAACTTTTCATTATATTCCTCAGAAAATGAGAAATATAAGGCAACTTCCTCAACTTGATAAAAGATATTTATGAAAAACCTATAGCTAACATCTTGCTCAATAGAGCAAGATCAGAAACAGGACAAAGATACCTATTTTTCCCACTGCCATTCAAAATTATACTGAAGTTCTAGCCAGAGCAATCAGTTCAGAAAAAGAAAGGGCATCCAAGCTGAAAGGGAAGATGTACGACTATACCTATTCACAAACTACATGGCCCTATATGTAGAAAATTCCAAAGAATACAACAGAAGGCTTTTAATATACAAATTCAGCAAAGTTGCAGGGTATAAGATCAAAACACAAAATCAGCTGTGCTTCCATACACCAGCAATGAGCAGTTTTTAAAAAAAAAAAAATCCCATTTACAATAGCATCTTAAAGAATAAAACATCTAAGAATAAATTTAACCAGGGAGGTAAAAGAATTGTACACTGAAATATAGAAAAAAAATCAAAGATATAAATAAATGGAATGACATTCTGGGTTTATGGATTATAAGACTTAATATTGTTAAGATGACAATACGCCCAAGCAGTTTACAGATTCAGCACAATCACTTTCAAAATCCTAAAAATCTTAAAAAAATAAAATAAAAAGGTCAATTTTCAAATTCATATGAAATTGCAAGGGATCCTAAACAGCCATAACAACCTTGAAAAAGAAAAAAGCTAGAGGACTCACACTTTCCAGTTTCAAAACTTATTACCAAGATACAGCAATCAAAAGAATGTGGTACTGGCATAAGAATCAATATAAATCAATGCAATAGAACTAGGAGGCCAGAAATAAACCCAAGTCTACGGCTGATTGATTTTTTTTAATGACCAGCAGGAAGAGGCTGCCTGGTAGCTGACTGATTTTTAACAAGGGAGCCAAGACCATTCAGTGGAAAAAGAATAGTCTCTTCAACAAATGGTATCAGGAAGCCTGGCTATTCACATGCGAAAGAATAAAATTAGACCCCTGTCTCACACCATATACAAAAATTAACTCTATTAGCACCTTAATGTAAAAGCTAAAACTAGTACATTCTTAGAAGAAAACACAGAGGTAAATCTTTGTGACTTTTGATTTCATAACAGATTCTTAGAAACAATACTACAAAAATGACCAATAAAAGAAAAAGTAAATAGGAACAGTGGTTAATGCTTGTAATCCCACCATTTCTGTACTTTAAATTATATCATCAAGAAAACAACCAGAGAATAGAGAATACAAATCATATATTGATAAGGGACCTGTGTCCAGAATATATAACTTAGTAATAAGAGAGAATGATCTGATTAAGACATTTCTTTAAAGAAATACAAATGGCCAATAAGCACACAAAAAAGAGGCTCAGTCATTAGTTTTTAAGGAAATACAAACCAAAACCACAATGAAACACATCACAGACACTAGAACAGCTAAAATAAACTTAATAAGGAAAGTAAGTGTTGGCAAGAACATAGATAGTCTGGAACCCCTGTGTTTGCTGGTGGGATATGGACTGCATCCCCTGAGAAACTTGTGGGCCTCTTTGAGCCTGCCTTCTCTACTGCTCACCCACCACACACCCAAACCTTTACTACTTACCCTGCAGTGGATATGACACTAATGCCATCATTGTCTTTCCTGTGTGCTCCAGTGGCCTTTCCATGTCGAGATTCACTCTACCTCCCTCACCAATTCAGTAGGCTCCATCCCTTGCCTCACCCTCTCTGCCTCCTCCCACAGGGCCAGTCCTACCTACTGGGTAAACTCCTTGATTGTCTCCCTCTGTGCCTGCACCTGGGCCTGCCATTCTTGGAGCTCTCTGCTTCACTCTGAATCCTTCTTTTTAAGCTCAGATGAGCCCAGCAGTCCAGCAGTTTGAGGCTCCTTTCCACTTCTGCTGAAAGTCCCTGGGCCTCACCTCCACTTGCAATCTCAGTCAAGCACCTAAACTCTGGAACTGGGGAGCATCAATCCCCTGCCTTTCTCTTCCTAGGATCTAGCTTTTTTTCTTATTTCCTCTCCCAAAGGACACTTTGTCCTCCCCTGCAGGAGCCAAGTTTCTGTATTCACTGGGCCCTAACCTGAGCTCTGTTCCTCTGCACCAGCATTTTTCTTACTCTCACCTTCTCATGATTCCATGAGACCCCAGAGCACACAGTGTGCCTTCAATGAGGCTCCTGTGTTGCTATGACCATGCTGCACCCCCATAGGCACTTGTCCAACCCTCATTTCATGTATCCTCAGCTGCCATCCACCTGTCAGCTGCTTCAGTTCTTCCTTACTCTCCTCTTTGGGACTTGCTCCCCATGGTTCACCCATCTTGGGCTCTTTTGCTGCACCCTGACCTCTTCCCACTTCTGAGAGTAGGTTCCTTTTAACAGAGGTTCTGCCCTCTGTAGAGGACTCTGAAATGTTGCCTTCAAGCCTGTTCAGAACCCTCATGCTGAGTCCAGTATCTGGACTGATCCAACCTCCATTCTGTGCAAGAGCCCCATGACCAGCTGTCTATACCCCAGATGGACCCTAAATCTGCCTGACTCCCCCATCCCATTGCACTGAAGAGAACAGACACTTGCAACCCTTGTGATGGACATCCAATGAGTCTGTTTCCATTCTAGGCCCCTTATGCATCATTCTCAGCAGGAGCAAAATGGACCTCAAGGTAAAAATTAGGTTCCAATCACTCTCAAGGCTTCCACTGTCCCTGAATAAAATCCAACGGCCCCATCCCACCTGCCCCAATCCCACTATTCTGGTCCTCTTGCCATCCTTTAAGATGCAGTGGCCTCATCTGAGGAGGCTTATCCCCCAAGATGACCTTCTGGTTCCCAGGCTGGGCCAAAATAGTGTTCTTAAATCTTCCCTGTCTTCTTTCCAGAAACTTCCCATCTTGGAACTTTTGTTTAAAAATCTCAAGCACTGTCTGGGTGGCTGCTGCTGGGAGGACCCGAGGCCACATCTGCATTTTCCACAAGCAGAGAGAACCAAACAAGTACCAATAACTTTATTGTTATCAGCCAGGAAAAAACCTCCACTCATGGCACCTCCTGACAGTCCCATCTGGGAAAGGCCAGAGGAGCCAGGATCCCAACAGTCCAGGTTTTCTCATTGGCTTTTCCCTTACTTGCAGGCTCTGTTCCTGATTAACTCCTGAGCCCTAGGAATCCAGGTGACTGATATTCTTGTTACCAAAGAAAAGGTCCCTGAGCAGGGAGGGAAGGAAGAGCACGGTCTGGGCTCCCACACAGCAGCTAAGGCAGATTTTGGCAAGACCAGAAGACAGTGCTAAAGGGACTGAAAACCCCTCTTTGTTACTGAACATGAGTCTTTTTTGCCAAACGAGAGACAACAAAGTTCTTGTTGCGGACAGTTAGCAGCTGACACAACCAAGGACAATATACGCCCTATGTTCCCCACGCATCACACTTGGCCTCACCCCCTCACCCACCCTACCCACCGCAGTGGGGCCACCCCTCACCAGCCACGCCCACTGCACCTGCCCCGCCCCTCACCTGTCACTCTCCTCCTTCACAGCCCCAAATGCCGTCTGCCGGCCAGTCCTCCCGGAGGGCTCCTGCACCTTCTCAGCATCGGGCTCCGGCTCCAGAGAGGAGCTTGTGCTGCCCTCGCGGCTGACGCTGCTACCACGCCCAGGGCTGTTCTCTGCTGAAGCCCGCGGGGACTCGGTGTTCTGCTTCAGCGTCTGTAGCTTGGCCAGCGGGATGATGTCGCAGCCTTGCGGGCGGTGCCACACGGTACGCTGCGTGCTGGCGTTGTAGTAGTAGAAGCGGGATGTGTTGGGGTCGAAGAGCTCCCACCACTGGTTCTCACTGGTGCGCTTGATGCGGACGCCTGCTGGCGGGTCCCACACACACTCGCCCGTGACCAGGTTTGCGTACATGCGCTCGCGGGTGCGCGGCTCGATGATCTCCACCCACTCCAGCCTGGGAACAGAGGAACCAGGGTTAGGGGCGGAGAAGACAGGTGTGAAGCCTGGACTTCAGGCCCCAGCTGCCCGGGGTATGTCCCGGAAGGGAAGGCCTGACGGCAGAAGGCTGCCTTCATAAAACTATAGGGACCCTCCTGACTCAGGGATCGACCTCCTGTAGACCCTTGCTCACATCCCTCAGCTTCAAAAACAAGACATCTTGTCAGTGACTGTTAAATGCTCATGGGCATTTCAGTCCCCTGGGGAGTTTCTGGAGAAGCCAGTGCCAAGGGTGAGCATGACAACGCTCTGGGGGGGGAGGTCTTGGTCCCCAAGTGGTGTGCAAACATACTGGTGGCTCTGGTTTCCTGTCTCACAGGGACCCAGGCCATGCCCCCACTGCCCCATCCAGGCTCTGTCTACAGGAGCTAGGGTATGGCTGCTTCACATGGCCTGAAACCTATCCCCCCTTACCACCATGTACATGCTGAAATTGCCCCTCTTCTGTAGCTGGGAGACCACTATATCCACATTGGGTCAGGAATACAGAGGGGATTGGACCCAGCCAGAAAGTGTTGCTGGGTTCCTGAGCTGCTTTCTCCCAGGGGAACCCAGTGCAATAGAGCCAAGAACCCAGAGGGCACTCAAACCCCTTCCTGAGGGGCCATAGCCTCCAATCTTTAAATGTTTTTTTAAATAAAAAAGACAATTTCAAAAACAATGCAAATTAAAGATATCTAGAGCAAGACCATTTTAATGCTGATATGTTTGATATGTGGATGTGCTCCAGGTAACATCTGGCATTTTTAAGTTTCTACACAGAAACAAATACCCCTTAAAGGCACGGAGTGCTCCTCAATGTGGACACTCTCGGCCAGGAGACACATTGGTGGTCTGCCTATGCATCCACTGTCTTGTAATCTTGTGATAGGCCTGGTCCTCACCATCACTAGGCTGGTTGGGGGGGGTGTCTTGTTTCAAAGGAAAGGTCTCTAATTACAGTGGCTCAGAAGAGAAGGGGAATTGTATGGGGAGAGCGGGGTGGGGGGGGGTTTCCTACAGCTCCACCAGGACAGTGAAAGAAAGAGGCACCCTCTCTGAACAGGCAGGTGTTGACTGGCCAAGGGGATGACCTTTATTCCCACAACATTCTTTCTCTAAAGACCTCAATCCTACCCTTTGATGCCAGGCTAGGGGCACAGCTGCTCTGAAAACAGAATGTGATATGCACACACAACTGTCCTTGTGGGGATGCCAATGACTCCAGGTAGACGCTGTTCCTATCTGCCCTGACCACAAGGAGCAAAGTCCATGCCTTAAGAAGTGAGCAGCAGTGGGGCTCGGTGGCTCAGCCTGTAATCCCAGCATTTTGGGAGGCTAAGGTAAGTGGATTGCCTTAGCCCATGGGTTCAAGACCAGCCCAGGCAATTTGGTGAGACTTCGTCTCTACAATAAATCAAAAATCATCCGGGCGTGGTAGCACACGCCTGTAGTTCCGGCTTCTTGGAAGGTTGAGGCAGAAGGATTGCCGGAGCCCAGCAGGTTGACCCTGGGGTAGCCGTGAGTGTGCCACTGTACTCCAGCCTGGGCGACAGAGTGAGACAAACTCAAAAGAAAAAAGAAAAAGAGCAGCAAGACCAACTGCAGGAGGCCTGGCCCCTGTGTAGTGGCAGCACCCTCAGCAGCAGCCCTGCAGATTCCGGGTCCCTGTTTCTTGCTGATGCAGATGAGTAGCTGAGAAACCGGCCATGCACCCTTCCTTCAGGCATTGGTCACTGGGCACAGCTCCTCTGAGTTTGGGCACCACAGGCAGAGGAACCCAACGTGCTGCCTGTCAAGGCAGGAGAGTTACTAAGGGAGAGCTCATGTGGGGTTACGGGCTGGCTTAGGCATTCAAGTGGAGAAGGCAGAGAGGGTGGGGGGCTAAGCCTGAATGGAAACACTGCAGCAGTGTATGGCTCCAACAGTGGAGTCCTGAAGATCAGGGGAAGACAGATAAGAACTTTTCACTGTTGCCCTGTGGAAGGCATCTGATGAGGGGGGTAGGTTCCTGCTTCTTTGCTGAGCTTGACTACATTTGCCAACAATCCATGTCCCCAAACAAATGCTTTGGTTTGCTTGGCCCCACCCTGACATGGGTCCTGGTTTATGGACCAACCACCTTTCCATGTACTTGTCTCTCTATGCCCTTGGACCACAGACCCACTCTACTGTTCAGCAAGCAACAGGGTGCAGGGGCCTCGCTCTACTCGCGTCCTCACTCTTCTCTGTCCAATGCCTCACCAGGTACGGACAACGCCTGCCCAGTTCTGTCCTGCCCACGATGTGGTCCACCTAGTAATGGGGCCTTACTTACCCTTGACTGCCAAATCTAGGCAGCACATTTCAGTCCTGAGGAAACTGCACCACTTTTAATACCACTGATCATACCTTCTTCCTTTTATTCTTAAATGTTTAACTTTTTGTCTTGAAATAATTTCATATTTTTAAAAAAGCTCAAAAAACAATCTTCACCCACATTCCCCACATCACCATCCTGTATCAGAGCGTCAGCAAGTTATGCATGTGCTTTGGCAGAAGTAGAACAAAGGAAACCACTGTGTTTGACATGTCGGGGAACATGAGGGGCTTGCCATGACCTAGGACAGTCACTTGGATCACTTGGTCAAGTGGGCACTCACTAGGCTTCCCACTGTAACATCATCGTGCTTCTCTATGCAATTAATAAGTATCTTGTGGGGTTACTTTAAGACCACATAATATCCTTTTCTCGAAAATCATACTTTCACTCACTATTTTTAGCATCCATTGATGATTCTTGCCTAAAAAATCCTTACTGTGTGTTGGCCAAATGCTAATTACATGTTTCCATCACTCCATCTACATTTTATAGCTGAAATTCTATTGTAAGTGTCATATAATAACAGAATTTGTCATGCTAGCAGTGTTGTAGGTGGAGGTTGGTTAGGGTGACATCCTTCCTAATTTTCTGTATTTTCCAAGTATTTTGCACAATGTTCACAAGATTACTTTTGTCACTAGAAAAAATTTAAAGACATTAAATTTCTATAAAATAGTGTTATTTCAAGTATAATATGCAATAAGTCTTTCAACATGCCAAACTTTAAAGTTTTAAAGATTTAGTGGGTGAGGCATGGCAGCTTATGCCTGTAATCACAACACTTTGGGCAGCTGAGGCGGGAAGATCACTTGAGGCCAGGAGTTCAAGACCAGCCTGGGCAACTTAAGACCTCATCTCAAAAGTAAAAAAAAAAAAAAGAAAGAAAGAAATTAGCGAGCAATGTTTCCATCAAGCATCTGCACACTTATATTGGCCTGTGCAGCACATGACTCAAGTGAGTGATAAGTAGTATGTCCCCATTGTAGGGGGAGTAGAGGTGGTATAATGAGTTATATCCCTAGGGAGGGGGTGTGATAAGTGAAATTGGAGGAGTATAATAAATGGTATCTCCCTGTAGGGGTATGTAATACATGATATCTCCCTGTGGCAGTGTAATAAAAAGTATCTCCCTGGGGGAGGTGTGTTATAAATGGTATCTCTATAGTGGAGGGTGTAATAAATGGTATATCCCTGATGGGGTATGTTTTAATTCAAATACATACTTAGTGACAGGGAAGGACTATCACAATTTATAATTAAAGTTATGTAGCTTTATTTTTTAAAACCACGTATGTGTTTACATGTACATATTTGTGTAGGAAATCACTGGAAGTATAAAGTCAAATATTAAAAGGGGCTATCTAGGAGTTGTGAAATTTGGTGTAATTTTACCTTTTCCCTCATTTTATTCATCAAATTTTTTTTCAAAATTTGTGATGAAAAATTTCAAATATACACAAAAATACAGAGATTTGTATAATGAATTCCCATATATGTGGTCTTATATTTTTACCGATTATTGATGCAGTCGAGCATTTTCCTCATCCCTGAGCCACTTACATTCCCCATTATTCAGATATACATGACTATTGCCATCAAAATTTTTTATTTCTTACTGATTTGCAAGAGTTGTATTTTTTTAAGTCTTTTTTTTTTTCTTTTAGTCTTTATTTTAAAGATGTGGGGAAAAGTTGTGTTTTTTAAAAATAAATATTCTAAATCATAATTCCCTCTTACTTACATGTATTAAAAAGATCTCTCCCTCTCTTATTTCACGGCTTGTCTTTTCATTCTCTTTATGGTGCCTTTTGCCGTATGATGAAAAGCTTTTAAGTTTAACATAGTTGAATTAATAAATCTTTCCTTCATGATTTTTCCTCTTAATCTAGAAGTAGGGAAGAAAACTTCCCTACTTCTAGATTAAGAATATTCTCTTATAAATTACCTTCCATATTGAAGTCATTAATTGGCCTGGATTGATTTTTGTTACTATGTGAAATTTCACTTTTCCCACATGGATAACCAGGGGTTTCAAGATGGGTCTGTTAAATAGCATGATTTCCTCAGTGATGGACAATGACAGCTCTGTCTTAAATCAAGTTTTTAAAATGCTGTTTTTATAAGTCCATCTAAGCTCCCTCCTGGCTTTGCTGGTCAACAACACTGTGGTACCTTAATTATAATGGCTTTGTAAAGTTACTCACATCTTCCTGTCTTTTGGGCATGTGTCTTGGCTATTCTTTTTTTTTTTTCCCTAGTTCGAGTCTCACTCTGTCACCCAGACTGGAGTGCAGTAGCCAAGCACTGGGATTACAGGCTGAGCCACCAAGCCCAGCTGGTTATTCTTATTTTTAATTTTTTTTTTTAGTTGGAGTCTCACTCTGTCGCCCAGGTTGGAGTGCAGTGGTATGCTCACGGCCACTGCAGCCTCAACCTGCTAGACTCAGGCAATCCTTCCACCTTACCTTCCAAGCAGTTGGAACCACAGGCCTGCGCCACCATGCCTGGCTAATTTTTTGTGTCTATTCTTGACCCTTGGTTCTTCCCAATGAAATTTAGAATCAAGCCGGGCTCGGTGGCTCAGTCAAGCCGCGCCTTTGGGAGGCTGAGGTGAG